ATCTTTAATTACTAATTCTTAAAACCATGAAGTCAAGAAAACCTTACAAGATCAAAATAGTTATTGCAATTTTTGCTCTTCTTAATTTTAAGAAGGAATAAAGAGAAATTAGGTGGACAATTAATATATAAAAAAACTGGCCATGGTGATGCATGTAGCATTTTTCTCGTTGTATTTATTAATGCCTCAAACCCTACTTAGAGATATTGATCGAAAATGACAAATTAAGATATGCACATGCATACTTTTTCATGCATAATAGATTATGATATGATACGCTCTTCAGTAGAACAAATAACAATCTATATATGTGGACCACATATATATCTAGCAATTACAATCATCTAAAAAGAATCAGATTAATAGATGAATCAATATAATTCTACTAGAACAACTCTCCTAAATGGTACAAAATTGAAATAAATCTTGATATTTTGGGGGTAATATGAACAATCTTAAAAAATACAAGCAAAAATGGTAAAAAAAAAAAAACTAGGAAAAGTACGAATCCAGCCCTATAAATGCAAATGACGATGGTGGTGTTTCTTACTACTTGAAGCCTCTTCTCCAATTCTCTCCAACCCATATTTTCCCTCACTCTCATCAGTCAAGAATCATCATACCCCCATTTCCCTCAATCTTAGCCATATGGAGCGTGGTCAGAGTAGTAACCAACGTAACAACAACAACGAGTTTATTCTACCTGACAACTTTTCGGAACTGTCATTGAAAACAATCGAAAACATACAAACAAGGTGTAGGAAGGGGCTGGAACCAGGCACTGTTAGGTATATGAGAGACAATAGGTGCCCTGGATATGGATGGTTACTGCCTGGATGGTTAGCGGAGGAGCGTGTAGTTGCATCAGGAAGAGTGTATAAGGTACTTGGTCATTTTTCTTCTTCATTTTGTATATTGAAGAAAAGGTTAATGAACATAAAAATAATGATGAAAATTAAGTTTATTGATTTTGAATTGAAGAATTGAATGTTATGGACTTTGTGTTGCATACAGCACTATTATGATCCGTCGGGCCGCCTGTATAGAACCCAGTTTGAGGTTCTTTATGCGTGGGAGAAAGCTGGATTGATCCTTCTCGATTCGTAATGACCAGAAGGTTAGGACTTTGTCCTCCTCTTTATATAATATATATAATATATGATCTTCTTAATTAAGGGTTTTTTTCTTCTTTTTTAATTATATATGGGTAATATAGGTCTATTTATATCTTTGTCCATTATTTTTGGTGAATTGCAGCAGATCAGGGGAGTCGTCCGGATCATAGCAAACCGGACTTGTCATCTGCCTCTATGTTTCAAGTTTTATTTCTGGGACTGTTTAATTATAATGTAATTGTCTTGCAAATTAATTTGAGTTTGAGTTTTCATTATTTAGTTCTTCTTGCTTAATTATACATGAATTCCTCATTTT